AAGGCGCCAGTGGCAGGGGTTGCATAGGACTCCGCACCAATGTCGGTACACCCCTCAAAAGGGTCTTAGCTCCGTAGGGAGCTCCACTGAAGGCTCCAGTGGCAGGGGTTGCACGGGGGCTCCGCATCCATTTCGGTACATTCCATCACGAGGATCGTGGCCCTGTTGCGAGCTCCACAGAAGGTTCCCGCGGCAGGGGTTGAATGAGGGTCTCGTACCCATTCTGGTATACCCCCACACGTCTCGTGGCACCATGAGGAGCTCCACCGAAGGCTCAAGTGGCTGTGACCACATGCGCCTCTGCCACCCATTTTGGCACACCCCTCAAATGTGTCGGGGCCCCATTGGAATGTTCGCTGGAAGCCCCAGCGGCTGTGACCACATGCGTCCCCGCTACCCATGTCGGCACACCCCTCACACGTTTCGTGGCCCCACTGCGAGCTCCACCGAAGGCGCCAGTGGCTGTGACCACACGCGCCCCTGCCACCCATTTTGGCACACCCCTCACATGTTTCGGGGCCCCATTGGGATGTTCGCTGGAAGCCCCAGCGGCTGTGACCACATGCGTCCCCGCTACCCATGTCGGCACACCCCTCACACGTTTCGTGGCCCCATACGGAGCTCCACCGAAGGCCCCAGTAGCTGTGACCACATACGCCCCGCCACCCATTTTGGCACACCCATCACATGCCCCGGGGCCCCATAGGGAGGTCCACCGACAGCCCCAGCGGCTGTGACCACATGCGTCCCCTCCACACCCACATCGGCACGCCTCTCACATGTTTCGCGGCCCCATGGGGAGCTCCACCGAAGGCACCAGAGGCTGTGACCACATGCGCCCCCGACACCCATTTCGGCACACCCCTCACACGTTCCGTGGCCCCATTGCGAGCTCCACCAAAGGCCCCAGTGGCCGTTGTGACCAGTTCCCGCCGGCCATTTCTGCGCACCCGTCACATGTTTCGTGGTCCCATAGACAACTCCACCGAAGGCCCCAGTGGCTGTGACCACATGCATCCCCGCTGCCCGTTCCGGCGCACCCCTCACAAGCTTCATGTCCCCATGAGGAGCTCTACCGAAGAGGACACGCACCACTGCGGCACTCACAAGTGCACAAGAGTGGGTCCTTCGCCTGGATAAGTGATGTTTTGGTCACACTTCCTCTTCCGATCGCTTCTCCGGCCAACAGACGCCAAACACACCCCGAGAAGCCCCCTTACTAGTTTGACGGCCTCCCAGGGAGATCCCAAGAGAGCACCTACGACGGCCCCGAGGACCCGAAGACAGCCATGGGGAAACCCAACAGGTCCGAACAGCCCCCCAGGACGGCCCCAAGGGAGGCCTAACAAGGCCAACTCTGCAGCGCCCCCCCCATCCTGCCCTCCCCAAAGCCAGCACACCCCGAAGAAGCCCCCCAGAGGCTCCCGGACGGCCACTGGGCCACTCCCCAGAGGCCCCCGAAAGCTTCCAGCAGCTCCCTCGAAACGGCTCTGACATTCTCATAGAAGGCCCCAGATCATTGGACAAAACTAAAACCCCTACGGATTCCTGGAAGGCCTCCAGAAGTTCCCTACGAACTGCTCCGATAAGCTCATAGAAAGCAGATTTGGTGATTCGACACCTCTCGCGCCGGAGGGGCTACAGAAAATAGCTGTCCGATCCAGCTGCGGACACTTGGGAACGCTGTTTCTGTTGTTGTTGCTGCTGTTGTTGCTGCTCATGCCCCTGGATCTGCTGCAGCCTGCTAGCGCTGCTCTGGCGCCGTCAACATCATCAAGCAAACAGCGTACCCTGAAGCAGTGAGCAGCAGCAAGCGCACTCTGACAACTGGCACTCGTGGACTGTAGTCCACGGGTCAGGTCTCTTCTGCAATCAAGGGACCTCTTCATTGCCGTGTTATGGATCAAGTGCCACGTTTGCCTCCGAGAGGCCCCAGGCGGCTGGAAGAGTCTCCCAGGGCAGCCTCGACAGCCTTGCGAGCCTCGGGCCACACACCCCAGTCGGCCCAGCGGAGCCCAGACACGGCCGAAGAGGCGCCCGAGCCAGCCACAACGGCCCAAGAGGCCCCCCAGACGCCACGAGAGAGATCCATAAAGAGGCTCCAGGGCAGCCCCGAAGGGAATTTGGTGTTGGCCTATTGGGGGCTTCACTCTCCCGCAGGCCCTGGAGGCCCCCCGAGCTCCCCCGAGACGGCCTCAGAGGCCCCCTGTGAGAGCTTCACAAGCCTACCCACGCGGGCCCCGGTTGACAGTCCAGGAGGCGCCCAAACGAGAGGGGGGGGGAACTTGGAGTGGCATGTTGCGCCGTCTGCTCCAGGATGAGCTCAGACACCGCCAGCAGGCCCCCAAGAGCCGACCCCCCCCCCCTCCCAGAAGGCCCCCAGGACGCCCAAAGTCAGGGCCCCCAAGAGGGCCCCCGAGAGAGGCCCAAAGACCCCTCCAAACGCCGCCTCGAGGAGGCTTCCGAGGGCAAGCTCCCCAGGGAGCACCGTGACCGCGGCCGCCCGCGAGGGCCCCCTGAGCGGGGGATGCCGGAGACAGCCGGCCGCGCGCGCACCGAGACCAGGGGGGGCGTGCGTGTGCTGGCTGCTCCTCGTGCCTCCGTCCGGAGGGCACCAACTATCCACCAACACCGATCCTGGCCCAGGATCACCCTGGGCCCAGGATCGGTGTATATGCCTTCAGGCATACACCGATCCTGGCCAGGATCGGTGTTGGTGTATAGTTGGTGCCTTCCTATCCGTGCTCGTTCCGTGCTCCCCGCTCCGCGCGCGTCGCTCCTCCTCGCTCTCCCCCTCGCCCCCCTCGCCTCCCTCGCCTCTCCTCTATATGGCTCCTCTGCCCTCGCTCCGCCTCGCGCCTTCCACCTGCCTCCCGGCCCCTCGCTTTTCCTCGCTTCTCCTCCTCCTCCTCCTCCTCCTCCTCCTCTCCTCCTCCTCCTCCTCCTCATCCTCCTCCTCCTCCTCCTCCAGGCTACCAGCGCCTGCCTCCTCGCTCTCCCTTGTCCTTCCTCACCTCTCTCTCTCTCTATCTCCTCGGGCCGTCGCTCCGTGCTCCTCGCGGATCGCTCCTCGCTCCCCCCCCCCCTCCCCCCGCGAAGCTGATCTGTCGAGCCTCGCTCCTCGCTCCTCGCTCCTCGCTCCACGCACAGGAAGCAGCACTCTGCAGCCTCAAGCAGCAACAGCGACCAACAGCCGTCTGCAGCGGGCAAGGGCAGCACGGCAGGCAGCAGCAGCAGCATGCCGCGTGCTCGTCCCCGCCCCGCAGCCGCGGGCAGCAGCAGCAGAGGCGGAGGTCGGCCGGCCGCGACCGCGGAAGCCTTTCGGGAACATCCCTGCCCGGATCCAGCGTGCCATCTCGGACATGTGGCGTGGCCCAAGAAGCATGTCAAACACACATGCTCAGAGCCCCGAATCATCAGGGGTAACTCGGGTCAGGGAGAGCTCGGGATCATGTTTCTGGAATCCAAACCAGAGTTACCCCGGACCCGAGTTACCCCGGATAACTCGGGCGTCCAGAGCCCCACATCATCAGGGGTAACTCGGGTCAGGGCTACCTCGGGTTCCTTTTTCGGGAATCCAAACCCGAGTTGCCCCGGACCCGAGTTACCCTGGATAACTCGGGCGCCCATCATGCGGTTTGGGGCCCTCTGAGGGCCCCCCGGGGGCGCTCTTGCGGCCCTCTTGAGGCCTTCGGGCCCCTCCAAGGCAGGGCCGGGTGCATCCTGCCACAGAACGGCCTCTCGTGGCAGAATGGTGGGCCAGCGCCCGGCGGCATCCTCGGGCCCTCTTGAATTCCTCTTGGAGCCCTCTGGAGGCCCTCTTCGTGCCCTCTGGCACGACGGCCCCAAGTCGGTCCCGAAACTATCCCAGAGGCGCCCAGAAGGCCGCGGGTCAGCCCTAGTCTGTACTCCAATTCTGGTCGCGGCGCGTGCGAGAAGGAAAATCTGCGGCAGCGCCTCGGGCCGCCCAGAGAGCCCGCGGGCCGCCCGGAGAGCCTCTGGGGCGCTCCTCGACGGCTTCAGGAGGCCCCTGGAGCGCTCGCCGACGGCTCCAAGACCCCCAGATCGCCCCACGACGGCCTCACAGACGCCCACGATGGCCGAAGCCGACCCGACCGGAGCCCCCTGACGGCCCCAAAAGGCTTTAGAGACGGCCCCCGAGGACCGCCTGGACGGCGCCAAGGGGCAAAACTTGTTGCGTTTTCCGAAGATTTCGAAGGTTTTGCTGTTCCCGCCACTTCGGGCCCATACCGGCCTAGGATGGCCCTGGGGGCTTTCCACATCGCCCCTGCACGGTCCAAGAGGTCCCCAGGAGGGCCCGTAGACGGCCCAAGAGGGCCCCAAGACGGCCCAAGAGAGCTTCAAGTGACTCCCAAGTAAGCTCCAACCGGGCCCCAGCAAAGCGACCTCCGAAACGGCCCGAGACCCCCAGGATGGCCCCAAGACGCCCCCAGAAGGGCCCAAGATGCCGCCCAAGTTGGCCCAAAGCGACCTCCGAGACGGCCCGAGACCCCTAGATGGCCCCAAGACCTCCCTGCGCGGCCCCCAACCGAGGCCCGCAAACGTGCCCCCTCTCACCCTGATTGTGCCTGAAAGCCTTCACGCTTCCAGGTCAGTGCCCCCAGAGTTCCCCGACTGCTTTGCGAGTTGGCCCCCAGACGTGGCCTGTCAACGTCGGCCCCGCACGTGGCCTCCAAGCGGGACCCCCAGAGGCGGCCCCCACACAAATCCTCCCAAGGTCGCCCCTGCCGCCCCAGTAAGCGTGGCCCCTGAACGTCACCCCCACGCGCAGCCCCCAGGCGCCCCCAAAAGTGCCCCCCCCCCCCCCCCCCCCCACGCACAGTCCCCAACCCTCAAACGTGACCGTCACATGTGCCTCCGAAGGCCGTCCCTGCCGTCCCAGGGACGCCCGAGCTGCTCAACTTCGACGAGCTGGTCACCTACGGTGTGCGAGCCCCAGGCTCAGCACGCCGTGGATTTAATCCACGGGTTCACACTAGTCAGCTACAATGCTGGGATCAGCGCGTGCGAGAAGGGCGAGCAGTGGCAGCGGGCGCTGGCGCTTCTGAGCGGGATGGGGGAGGCGAAGGTGTTGCCCACCGTCATCAGCCACAATGCTGGGATCAGCGCGTGCGGGAAATGTGAACAGTGGCAGCAGGCGCTGGCGCTGCTTAGCGAGATGTTGCAGGGGAAATTGGAGCCCGATGTCCTCAGCTACAGCGCTGGCATCAGCGCGTGCGAGAAGGGCGAGCAGTGGCGGCTGGCGCTGGTGCTGCTTAGCGAGATGTTGGAGGCGAAGGTGTTGCCCAACGTCATCAGCTACAACGCTGGGATCAGCGCGTGCGCCAAGGGCGTGCAGTGGCAGCGGGCTCTGGCGCTGCTAGGCGAGATGAGGGAGGCGAAGCTGGAGCCCACTGTAATCTCGCCCGCATGGCCAGGGGAAGCGCGTGCGGGAAGGGACACGGATCACGCGTCCAATATCGGCCTCGGCGGCCCCCTGGCGCGGCCTCGGCGGCCCCCCTGGCCCCCCCTGGCGCGGCCCGGCGTGCCTCCGGGCGGCTCGAGCACGCTTCGGGACGCCGTCCGGGAGCGCCGAGCGCAGCCCGAGAGCCCCAGCGCGGCCCCAGGATGGCCCCAGAGGCCCTCCAGACGGCTCGCGGCGGCCAAAGATCATCGACTCTTCATGGTTTTGCATGATTCTCAGGTTTTCGCGATTTCGAGGTCAGAGCGGCCTAAGACGGCTCCTGGGTTCAGAGGTGCGCGAAACGGCCGAAGAGAGACCCAAGACGGCGCGAGAGAGCCCCCAGGAATACCCAGACGGGCGCCAAGAGCCGCCCAAGAGGGCTCACAGAGAGCTCCGCGATGGCCCAACACCCCCAATATGGCCCCTATGCGGCCCCAGAGGCCGTCCAGACGGGCCGCGGCAAACGAAATCCCAATGATTGTTGAAAGATGTTCCACCTTCTCGCCATTCCGAGCTAAGACCGGCCCAAGACGTCTGCGGGGGCTCCCCCGAACGTTCCAAGGCTGTCCAAGAGGAGCCAGAAAAGGCCGCACGACCACCCAGGAGTGCTCCAAGATGGTGCAGGAGGCGCCCGAGATGGCTCGAGAGGCCCCAAGACGGCGCGAGAGCCACCCGAGACAGCATCAAGACGGCCCCACGAGGCGCCCAAGGCGGCCCCAGAGGCCCCGAAAAGACCCCCAAGAGGCCCCCGAACGGCTTCCAGGAGGCCCCAGAAGAGGCTCCAAAGCTGCTCTCAAGACACGGTCTGCGGACGAGAGGCGAGAGGCTCATCGCACGCCCGGAGGAGTTGTTTTCCATTCTCCGAGGGCCCTGGCAGACAGGAGCAACTCGCAGGACCTGCAAGCAAACATCAAGAAAGCATCACGCAAACGGCAAGACGGTGCAGGCTAAACAAATCACGCGCGCAGTGGCAATGAAGCGGCAGCAGGCAACCGAGCGCAACAGGCGACAGCAGACACACGCTGAAAAGTCTTGCCTTAGTGGGCCGAGCCTACGGGTCAGCCCTCGACACTTTGCAAGCCTCTATAGGCTTGCCGCAATACACCCCCGAGGGCTTCCAAGACGCCCCAAGCTGGCCCCAGGACGGCCCCAGCGACGCCCAGACGGCCCAAGAGCACCCGTAGAGAGGCCGAAGAGGGGCCCAAGGGGCCCAAGACGGCTCAACTGTTGACCGAGAGGCGCTCGAGACAGCGGCGGGACAGCCCAACAGACCCTCAAGAGGCAAACAGAAGCCCCCAGAGGCCCTGGATGCTTGTGTTCTTTGAAGCGTCGTCGTAGAAACGACGATTGGCACGATGGACCATCGAAGTGGAAAAGGATGGAGGGACTTAGAAAGAGGAGGAGGATCCAGCAGCAATGAACAGAAGCAACGGCGAGCAGCAGCTGCAGCAGCAGCACACGTTGACATCACTTGTGCCAAGCAGCATCCTGCAGCAAGCAGCAGCAGGCAGGTGGCAACATCCGCCACCAGGCAAAGGCTAGCATGCACTACTCCGTAGCAAACCGTTGCCGCAGGCGGCGGCAGAAGAAAGACCAAACGGAAGGCCGCAAGAGGCAACAAGCAGCACCCAGCAACAGCAAGCGGCTGCAAAAGGCACCAAGCAGATGCAAGCGTGCTTGCCCAGACACCGCTCGCCACCTTGAGCAGATGTCGTGGACGTCCCACACATCCGACGTCTCAATTTTTTCGAGACACGAACCCCCGACCTCCGGACCACTTGGGGACCCGTTCCTCATCCCGAAGCGTTTTTTGACGGCCCGAGGCCCGGCGAGGGACAGAAGAGGCCAAAAACTGAGAAAGACCATGTTTGGCGTGGTCGTGAACGGTCTCTCCTACAACACCGGGAACAGTGCGTGCGAGAAGGGTCTCTCCGCCGCGCGGCTTCCAGCGTGGCTCCGAGCCGCGGAAGAGGGGAAGCGCGGCTGGCACCCACGACGGCTCCGAGCTGCTCCAGAGGCCCGCCCCGAAGGGAGGGTGTATTGCAGCACCTCCTCGTTTTCCTACTCCTCCTCCTGCTTCTCCTCCTCCTCCTCCTCCTCCTCGTCTTCCTCCTCCTCCTCCTCCTCCTCCTCCTCCTCCTCCTCCTCCTCCTCCTCCTCCTCCTCCTCCATGCTCCTCACATCCTCCTCCTCATCACTCCTCCTCATCTCCTCCTCCTCCTCCTCCTCCTCCTCCTCCTCCTATGTCTTCTCTGCCTTTTTTTCCTCCCTCCCCCTCCCCCTCCCCCTCCCCCTCCTCCTCCTCCTCCTCCTCCTCCTTCTCCTCCTCCTCCTCCTCCTCCTCCTCCTCCTCCTCCTCCTCTTCCTCCTCCTCCTCCTTCTCCTCCTTTTCCGCCTCCGCCTACCAAAGACAGCTCCGAACAGCTCAAGAGGGCGCCCCGACGACCCAGTTCCGAGCCGCTCAGAATGCCACCCCGACGGCCCCAGGGGCGCTCCGACGGCCCCAGGCCGCTCAATAGGGCGTTCCGACGGCCCCCAAAGGCGTCCAGGGCAGGCCAGGAGCCTCCGAAGACGGCCCTCGAGGATTCGCCCAGACAGCCCCGAGACGCAAACATCACCCCATTCCCCGAGGGAAACTGATATTATGGGCTTTCTCGTGCTTTTCGTTTCCAGCGCTTCCACGACGGCCACAGAGCCCCCCAAGATCGCCCCAAGACGTCCTCCAGAATGGCCCAAGACGGGCGCAGGACGGCCCAAGAGGCACCCCAAACGGCCCAAGAGGCACCCACGACAGCCCCAAACACGGCCCAAGACGGCCCGAAGACGGCCAAATGGGCGCCCAAGACGGTCCACGATGCCCCCAAGACGGCCCAGAAGGAACCCAAGACAGCCCCAAGAGCCGCCGAAGACGGTCCCAGACGGCCCCCAGACGTCCCAAGATGCGCCTTAGACGGCCCAAGACTGTCCCGAAACTCCCCAACGGCAGCGACGAGAGCACCAGACGGCACCAAGGGGCCCTCTCGGAGCCGAAAAAAAGCGCCAAGAGGCCCCCCCACGCGACACCCAAGAGGCCCTGCTGCTGAAGGGGCTGACCGCCCAGATCCCGCCGATACCCCGAGAATGCTCTCGGCCAGATGCCGTGGACGGAGCCCACGGGTCAGCCCCAGTCAGCTACAGCGCTGGGATCGGCGCGTGCGAGAAGGGCGAGCAGTGGCAGGGGGCGCTGGCGCTGCTCCGCGAGATGCGGGGGACGAAGCTGGAGCCCAACGTGACCTCTCCTGCATGGCCGGGGGACAGCGCGCGCGGGAGGGGGCACGGACCAAGTGTCCAAAGTCGGCCTCGGCGGGCCCCTGGCGCGGCCTCGGCGGGCCCCTGGCCCCCTGGCGCGGCCCAGCGTGCCTCCGGGCGGCTCCGCCTTCCGGGAGCGCCGAGATCGGCCCAATGGAGTTCCAGCATGGCCCTCCCGGGCGGCCTCAGGACAGCCCCAGGACAGCTCGCGGCGGCTAAATATCATGGGCATTTCGATGGCGTTTGCCGGATTGTCAGGTTCTCGCGACTTCGAGCCAAGAGCGGCCCAAGACGGCTCTTGGGCCCCCCCGAACGCTCCGATCAAGAGAGTCCCAAGACGGCCCGAGAGAGCCCCCAGGAGCCCCCAAACGGGCCCCAAGAGCCGCCCAAGACGGCTCACGGACAGTTCCCACACAGCCCAAGAGCCCCAACATGGCCCCAAGACGGCCCAAGACGCCTCGAAGCGGCCAAGACGGCCCAAGACGGCCCCACGACGGCCCCAAGACGGCCCAAGACGGTCGTTGCCTGATTTTTCAGGTTCTCGCGATTTCGACCTCAGATCGACCCAAGACGGCTCCTGGGCCCCCCCACGAATGCTCCAAGGCTCAAGGAGCTCCGGCAAGGCCCCAAGACGTCTCAGGAGTGCTCCAAGACTGCTCCCGGAGGAGCCCAAACGGCCCAAGAGACCCACGACGGCGCGAGAGAACCCCCAGGAGCCCCCAGATGGGCCCCAGAGAGCTCCGAGATGGCCCAACACCCAAAACATGGCCCCTACACGGCTCCAGAGGCCGTCCAGACTGGCCGCGGCCAACGGAATAATTGAGGAGGAGGAGGAGGAGGAGGAGGAAGAGGAGGAGGAGGAGGAGGAGGAGGAGGAGAGGAGGAGGAGGAGGAGGAGGAGGAGGAGGGAGGAGGAGGAGGAGGAGGAGGATGAGAGGAGGAGGAGGGAGGAGGAAGGAGGAGGAGGTGGGAGGAGGAGGGCGGGGAGAGGGGGAGGAGGGGAGGAGGAGAGGAGGAAGAGGAGGAGGAGGAGGAGGAGGAGGGAGGAGGCGGAGGATGAGGAGGAGGAGGAGGGGAAGAGGAGGAGGAGGAGGAGGAGGGAGGGGGAGGGAGGGAGGAGGAGGAGAGTGGAGGAGGAGGAGGTGGAGGAGGAGGCGGAGGAGGAGGAGGAGGAGGAGGGACAAATTTCCACCTTCTCGCCATTCCGAGCCAGGACCGGCCCAAGACGGTTGCTGGGGCTCATCCGAACGCTCCAAGGCCGTCCGAGAGGATCCAGAAAAGGCCCCACGACCACCGAGGAGGGCCCCAAGATGGCACAGGAGGCGCCCAAGATGGCTCAACAAGATGCCCCTTAAGACGGCCCGAGAGACGGCCCACGAGGTGCCCCAGGCGGCCCCAGAGGCACCCACGAGGCCGAAAAGACCCCCGAGAGGCCCCCGAACGGCTTCCGGGAGGCCCCCAGAAGAACTCCAAAGCTGCTCTCAAGACACGGTCAGCGGACGAGAGGCGAGAGGCTGGCTCATCGCACGCCCGGAGGAGTTGTTCTCCACGCGCCGAGGGCCCTCGCAAACAGGAGCAACTCGCAGGACCTGCAAGCAAACATCAAGCAAGCATCACGCAAACGGCAAGACGGTGCAGGCTGAACAAATTACGCGCGCAGTGGCCATGAAACGGCAGCAGGCAACCGAGCGCAACAGGCGACAGCAGACACACGATGCAAAGTCTTGCCTTCGTGAGTCGAGCCTACGGGTCAGCCCTCGACACTTTGCAGGCCTTTTATGGGAGTGCCCCGAGACACCCCCGACGGCTTCCAAGACGGCCCCAAGACTCCCCAAGCTGGCCCCAGGACGGCCCCAGCGACGCCCAGACGGCCCAAGAGCACCCGTAGAGAGCCCGAAGAGGGGCCCAAGGGGCCCAAGACGGCCCCAAGATTGAACGAGAGGCACTCGAGACAGTGCTGGGACAGCCCAATAGACCCTCAAGAGGCAAACAGAAGCCCCCAGAGGCCCTGGATGCTTGTGCTCTCGTCGTAGAAACGACGAGTGGTGCGATGGACAATCGAGGGGGGGAAGGGTGCAGGGACTGAGAAAGAGGAGGACCCAGCAACAGGGAACAGAAGCAACGGCGAGCAGCAGCTGCAGCAGCAGCAGCAGCAGCATGCATTAATCACCAGTGCCAAGCAGCATCCTGCAGCAAGCATTATGTCGGGCGTGTCCCCATACAGGGGGATGTTCGACGAGTTTTGGTTTAAAGGAAAAAAGGGGGGGCACTAAACACCCAAAAATACCCCCAAAAGGAAAACAACACAAATTATCCCGGCAAAGCAACCTAACAGCGATGTGTAGAAGCATATCTGAAAGCATTCCCCTTAAGATTCAGATGAAAATCCAGTTGTCGAATTCTGCTGTTCTCGCAGTCGTAGTCGCATTCGCGATGACAGTCGCAGCGGCAACGGCAGTCGCAGTCACAGCCTCAGCCTCAGCCTGCCTCCTCTCTCCTCCTCCTCCCCTCCTCCTCTTTCTCTCCTGCTACCTCTCCTCCTTCCTCCTCCTCCTCTTTCCTCCTGCTCGTCCTCGTTCTCGTCCTCCTCGTCTTGGCTCGTCCTCCTCCTCCTGGTGCTTCTCCTCCTCCTCCTCCTCCTCTCCTCCTCCTCCTCCTCCTCCTCCTCCTCCTCCTCCTCCTGGTGGTCCTCGTTCTCCTCCTCCTGGTGCTCTCCCCCCCCCTCCTCCTCCTCGTCCTCCTCCTCCTCCTCGTCCTCCTCCTCCTCCTCTTCCTCCTCCTCCTCCTCCTCCTCCTCCTCCTCCTCCTGGTAGTCCTCCCCCTCCCCTCCTCCTCCTCCTCCTCCTCTTCCTGGTCGCCCTCGTTCTCGTCCTCCTCGTCTTGCTCGTCCTCCTCCTCGTGGTGTTCTCTCCTCCTCCTCCTCCTCCTCCTCCTCCTCCTGGTGGTCCTCGTTCTCCTCCTCCTGGTGCTCTCCCCCCCCCTCCTCCTCCTCGTCCTCCTCCTCCTCCTCCTCCTCGTCCTCCTCCTCCTCTTCCTCCTCCTGCTCCTCCTCCTCCTCCTCCTCACTCCTCCTCCTCCTCCTGTACTCCTCCCCCTCACCCTCCTCCTACCTCCTCCCCTCCTGTCGTGTCCCTCCTCTCCCCTGTCGTCCTCCTCCTCCTGCTCGTCCTCCTCCTCCTCCTGCTCGTCCTTTTTCTCCTGCTCCTCCTGCTCCTCGTCCTGCTCCTGCTCGTCCTCGTCCTCCTGGTCTTGCTCGTCCTCCGCCTCGTCGTGCTCTTGCCCCTGCTGAAAATGTGGCCCAGGAATGGGAGTTCTGGGAAGTCGAAGAGCACGAAGTTGCCTACAGTTGGCTACGGGCAATCAAAATGTGGCCCGGGAATGGAGTTCTGGGAACTCGAAGAGCACGAAGTGGCCTACAGTTGGCTCCGGGCATTCAAAATGTGGCCCGGGAATGGAGTTCTGGGAACTAGAAGAGCACGAAGTGGCCTCAGTTGGCTCCGGGCATCCAAAATGTTGATTCCTGAATGAATTCCGGAACTCGAGGCTCAAATGCCAGTGAACTGTTTGCATCCGGATTATTCTAAATTGGCCCGGAATGGCTTCTGGGAACTCAAGAGCCACGAAGTGTGTGACTGTTGCATCCTGTTATTCTAAAAGGTGGCCCGGAATGCGTTCTGGATCTCGAAGAGCACGAAGTGTGTGACTGTTGCATCCGGTGATTCAGAATGAGCCTGGGAATGGAGTTCTGGGAAGTCGAAGAGCACGAAGTGTGTGACTGTTGGTGAAAAACGAGGTGGACTCAACCCGCCCGGCAACTCCCAACACCTGCCCGGACCCCCCTGTGGAGTGATCTGTGAGCTTTTTTTTTAGCCCATTAGAAACCTATCAGTCTACGCTGTTAGGTAAAAACAAAAAATAGTCCCAGACTATGTTTGGACGATGTTTTGATTATTTTTGGGGTATTTTTAATTTTTCGTCGAAAATCCCCCTGTAGGGGGACAGGCCCGACTTAAAGCAAGCAGCAGCATGCTGTTGGCAACATCCACCGCCAGGCACCGGCTAGCATGCACCAGTCCGCAGCACGCCGTTGCCGCAGGCGGCGGCAGAAGAGAGACCACACGGAAGGCCGCAAGAGGTAACAAGCAGCACTTAGCAGCAGCACGCGGCTGTAAAAAGGCACCTGGCAGGTGCAAGCGTGCTTGCCCAGACGCCGCTCGCCGCCTCGAGCAGATGTCGCGGGCGGAGTCCACGGGTCAGCCCTAGTCTTAGGTCGGGCCTGTCCCCCTACAGAGAGATTGTAGACGAAAAATACAAGATACCCCCAAAATAGCAAAAACATACTCCAAAAGTAGTCTGAGGATATTTTTTTTCCCAACCATCCTGTGGTGTTGGGTCCTCGTTTTGAAGAAACGGTCCCCGCGTCTCCTCTCCTCCTCTCCTCCTCCTCCTCCTCCTCC